CTCTAACTTTGAGCATAACTAATAGTTATGAATCTTTTTTCTGGTAAGCTATGTCCCAGCTCAATAAACCAAAAGTTGAAAATGGAAAAAAGGGGCCATGAAAATATGCTTCCTTGTAGGTGAAACATGATAGAGATAGAAGGACAATTTTCTGGCAAAATGAAGTGGAGATGATGTTGGTTTGTTCAGGTCACAAGCATTGGTGCTGAAATGGGCTATCCATCACGCTCCTGGTTTAGTTTATAGCAAGAATTCTGTTGTAGCAGCTAAATTTGAAGCAGCAATTTCTGATTTATGCTTATATAAGTCATGCTTGACATATACAATGCCAAAGTTTCATAAACTTCAAAATTTATGACTTCAAAATCGAAATACCAATCTAACGATTTGTACAGATGCCTGTGCACGCATAGAACTACTGTTGTTTCCGTAGTTGCACCATGCATGTCCATCATATCTTCAGCTTGTTGCGATCCCCAACTGAAGCTAGACATTGACAGTGATAAGAGTGTCAGTTGTTGCAGCAGTGTGCGCGCATGGCCTTCCGTTGCATCTCTGCCTTCTCTATTTTCTCAAGCATATTTCAAGGGCTTTGTAATATTAAAATAGCTAAAACGAGTCTTGATTCACCGAGTTAACCAGAATTTGGTTCTATCTTGGCATTCGGGAACAACATCGGTCTTCTTTTGCACAGTTCATGCTCTTCTTTCTTGATTTTGCCAATAAAGACACAATTTTTGAGCCCCCAAGAAGGCCAAATGCCCACATACAGAAGCAGACTTTTTATACCCTTGTAAAAAAGAAAAAAAAACAGAGATATTCCCTCACAAGTCAGCGAAACCTCAAGAAACCCCGAAATGCAACACCGAGAGCCTGAAGGCCTCATCCATGGAGTGCAAGATTCCATGGTTTTGAAGGAGAAGTCACACCTAGTTTTGGAAGCCAAAACCCACGAGAAAAAGAGTCACAACGTGCCGGATGCGGATTTGAGCCGAAGTGCCAGAGGCGGATACGAGCTTCAAACCCAGTAGCAATGGGGCTCGTGGCGGCGACGGCGGAGGCGACGTGCCGGAGCCGAAGGCGAGAGAGTGTGTCTTCGGACGCAGAGAGAGGGAGTGAAATTTGAGAGAGAGAAGGAGGACCTCCTCATCTGGAACATAGTTCTTTTACAAAAGGGAAGAGAAAGAAGGCAATTAATGTTGCGTGTGTCAGTCTTCTTCAAAGGAGAGAGAGAAAAGAAAGAGAGGTTCCGAATCCAATTTTTTAATTCCATGTCATCGCACACGTGTCGAATTTTAAATGGTTCACGCATGCCACGTAGGACGATGACGTGGTGGTATGCAACCACTAAATATTTTCTCCCTTTGGAGGGAGGTCGGTTCAAACTTATAACTGCTGCGTCATTAATCTGCAAGAACCTGAACTTAGGCTGACTGAAGATGGGACTGACTTCGATGGGCCCCTTTGATATTTCAACCATTGGTTCTCTGAGTATCCTCGTCGCTCGACAGAAGTTTCTATAGTCATATTGATCATATGGCAATTTCTCTATTCGCAGTGCTCAGGAGGTTATTATGGAGATGGTGGTGCTGCTTGTTTGCCTGGCATTGTTTTGGATTTGTCCGAACCGTCTTGGTTCTGTTGAAATAATAATTGTTTATTTTTCTGCACGTTTAGCTGATTTGTTTCTCAGTTGTCCTAGTCTTTAGGGGTTAGTGGAGTAATTGATTTATGCAGATTATGGGTTGTCATGGGTCCAATTTTGGTGGTGTTTCTGTTATGTATTTGCCTATTTAAAGGCTTCAAAATTCTGAATGAGATATAAGATTCAGCCTCATCTCTCATCTCTTATAGATATTTTCATACCTCTGTTTTATTGTTTTCGATTCTACAGTGGTATCAGAGCCTTGAGACCCTGAGAATGAAAACGTGAGGCAGCAACAAATTTCTTTCATCTATTTTGTCATTTACCCAATGGCCACAGATTCCAATTTTGTGCAAGCAGCCATCCCATGCTTTGATGGTTACTATGACCATTGGAGCGTGCTAATGGAGAATTTTTTTACGGTCAAAGGAGTATTGGCCAGTCGTCAAATCTGGAATTCAAGAGCCACCAGCAAGCACGGCTTTGACAGATTCCCAAAAAGCAGAACTGGAAGCTAGAAAGCTAAAGGACCCGAAGACAAAAAATTATCTCTTTCAGGCTATTATTGATCGTCCCATCTTGGAAACTATTCTTTTCAAAGAAACTTCCAAGGATATTTGGGCTTCTATGAAGAAGAAATATCAAGGCTCTGTTTGGGTGAAGCGTGCATAGCTTCAAGCCTTGAGAAGGGATTTTGAGACACTAGTGATGAAGGATGGAGAGATCAGCAACAAGATGCGATTCCATGGCGAGAAGATGGACGACGTCACCATTGTGGAGAAGATTTTGCGTTCCCTAACACCAAAGTTCAATTATGTCGTCTGCTCAATTGAAGAGTCGAAAGACATAGATGCACTCTCTCTTGATGAATTACAAAGCTCCTTATTGGTCCATGAACAGAAGATCAACAGTAGAGGAGCAAGTGTTGAAGGCTTCTACCAATACTCATTCCAACAATTTCAGAGGAAGGGGTAGAGGTAGAGGTAGAGGAAGGGGAGATCGAGGAAATAGAGATGTCAGCAGGAATTTCAAAGCCAATAATGACCAATCTCAAGGCAAAGGCAGAGGATGGGATCTTGACAAATCCAAGGTAGAGTGCTTTAGGTGTCATAAATTTGGTCATTATGCATTTGAATGTTATACTAAACCGCCTAATGATAAAGAAAAGGAAGAGAATTCAAATTTTGTCAAAAAGAAGGAAACAGAAATGTTGTTCATGGTTATTCAAGATGAAAAGAAACCGAGTCAAATATTTGGTATGTGGATGTAGGCGTCAAATATTTGGTATGTGGATGTAGGCTGCAATAACCATATGAGTGGAAGTAAGTCTTCTTTTTCTTATCTAAATGAAGATTTTCATTCTACTGTGAGTTTTGGTGATCATTCTACTGTGAAAGTGATGGGAAAAGGTGATATTAAGATAAGAACCAAGAATGGTTTTGTGGAAACGATCTCTAATGTGTTGTATGTTCCTGACCTGAAAAGTAACTTATTGAGTGCTGGTCAATTACAAGAAAAATGGTTATGTTATCACTATTAAGAAGGGTGCTTATGAAATTTATGATTCTATTAGAGGTACTATTGTAGTTGTTCAGATGAGTTCAAACAGATTATTTCCATTAAAGATTGAAAGTATTCAATCTTGTCTGATGGCTAAAATGAAAGATCCCTCATGGTTGTGGCATTTTCGCTATGGCCACTTGAGTTTTGGTGGATTGAAGATCCTCCAACAGAAAAAACATGGTGATAGGTCTTCCTCAAATTACTACTCCTTCCCAAGTATGTGAAGAATGTGTTGTTAACAAACAACATCGTTCTCAATTTCCCAAAGGGAAGTCATGGAGAGTAAAGGATGTTTTGCAGCTAGTGCATTAGGACATTTGTGGTCTAATAAATCCATCTTCTAATGGAGGTAAAAGATACTTAATTACCTTCATTGATGATTTTTCCAGAAAAACTTGGATTTATTTTTTACAGGAAAAATCAGAAGCTTTCTCTACATTTAAAAGCTTCAAAGCTCTTGTAGAAAATGAAGCAGGAAAGACCATTAAGACCACCCTTCGAACAGATCATGGTGACGAATATTGCTCAAAAGAATTTGAAGTTTTTTGTGTAGAGCATGGCATTTGAAGAGAGCTTACAGCCGCATATACACCACAATAAAATGGTGTATCTGAGAGGAAAAATAAAACCATTCTCAACATGGTGAGAAGCTTGTTGGCACGAGGAAGAGTTCCAAAGATTTTTTGGCCGGAAGCAGTAAACTGGAGTATTTATGTTTTGAACAGAAGTTCAACTTTTGCTATTCAAAAGATGACACCAGAAGAAGCTTGGAGTGGGAGAAGACCAGCTGTAGATCACTTCAGAATCTTTGGATGTATCGCGTATGCCCATGTCCCAGATGAGAAAAAGGAAGAAACTTGATGATAAGGCTGAAAAATGTGTCTTTCTTAGTGTAAGTGAAGCATCCAAAGCATATAAATTTTTCAATCCACTGACAAAGAAGATTGTGACCAGCAGGGATGGTATTTTTGATGAAGAGAACACTTGGGATTGGAATAGGCAGCAGCCTACCCAAGTCCTTTATGACAATAATGCTGAATAAGAGCAAATTTCAGCACCTTGTATGGCCGAAAATTCATCAAATATAACTTCTACAGCCGCTGAAGTCAATGAAGAAGAAGCTCAATCTCTTCGCCGTGTTAGAAGAAGGCCTACTTGGATGGAAGAATATGAGGTAACTAGAATTGAAGATCCAATTACTCACTTTGCTTTATTTTCAGACCGTGACCCTACAACTTTTGAGAGTGCTGTCAAAGAAGAAAAATGGCGAAAAGCGATGGATGATGATATTGATGCCATTGAAAGAAATGATACTTGGGAGCTATCCAACCTTCCGAATGGACACAAAACCATTGGTGTAAAGCGGGTCTTCAAAACAAAGCTGAAAGAAAATAGTGAAGCTGACAAGCACAAGGCATGCTTGATAGCTAAGGGATACAAACAGCAATACGAGATCGATTATACAGAAGTTTGTTCTCCAGTTGCAAAACATGACAGAATCAGATTAGTGGTTGCATTGGCGGCACAGAATTCTTGGCCTATTTTCCAGCTAGATGTAAAATCGCCATTCTTGCATGGGTACTTGGAGGAATAGGTATTTGTTGAACAATCCCCTGGTTATGTCAAGATTGGAAATGAGCATAAAGTTTTCAAATTGAAGAAAGCCCTTTATAGGCTAAAACAAGCCCCTCGGGCTTGGTATAGTCACATTGAGAATTATTTTCTTAAAGTTGATTTTTCGAAATGTCCCTATGAGCATACACTTTTTGTTAAGATTGGAGATAAAGAGAAAATGCTCATTGTCTACTTGTATGTTGATGATCTTATATTTACTGGAAATTGTGATGCCATGTTTAAAGAATTCAAGAAGTCTATGATGGATGAGTTTGAAATGTCTGATCTTGGTATAATGCATTACTTTCTTGGCATAGAAGTAGTACAATCAAGTGATGGGATCTTTATTTCTCAAAAGAAATATGTGGGAGAAATTTTGGATAGGTTTCAGATGAAGGATTGTAATCCTGTAAACACTCTAATTGAGTTTGGCTTAAAGCTACACAAAGATCACGAAGGGAAGAAGGTTGACAGCAAACTTTACAAACAAATTGTGGGCAGTTTGATGTATCTAACTGCAACAAGACCAGACATAATGTATTCTATGAGTTTAATCAACAGATATATAGAGAATCCTACAAAAATGCATTTGTTAGTTGCCAAGAGAATTCTTCGTTACTTGCAAGGAACTAGAGACTTTGGGCTATTTTACAATAAGGGTGAAAAGTCCAATGTGCTAGGGTTTACTGACAGTGATTATGCAGGAGATCAAGATGATAGGAGGAGCACTTCGGGTTATGCTTTTATGTTTGGTACAGGCGCTATTTCGTGGTCATCCAAGAAGCAACCAATTGTCATCTTGTCAAGTACAGAAGCTAAATTTGTTGCTGCTACAACTTGTGCTTCTCAAGCTATTTGGCCAAGGAGAATTCTTGAGGAGCTGCAATTCAAGCAACCGGGAGCTACTAAAATTTTTTGTGACAACAACTCAGCAATCAAACTCTCCAAGAATGGAAGAAGCAAGCACATTGATGTGAAATTTTATTTCTTGAGAGATCTTAGCAATGATGGAACAATTGATCTAATCTACTACAGGAGTGAAGATCAGGTTGATGATATATTCACCAAGGCCCTCAAGATGGAGTCGTTCGTGAAGCTCATAAGGAAACTAGGTATCTGCACGCTGAAAACAGTTAAAGTTTTAAACTGAATGTTAACAAACATCAATTTAAGGGAGGAATTGTTGAAACAATAATTGTTTCTTTTTCTACATGTTTAGCTGATTTGTTTCTCAGTTGTCCTAGTCTTTTTTTTTTTTTTTGATAACCAGGTGTCCGTGGCCGTGAGCAGAACTTAACCACGTGACGATCGTAGTCCTCGAGGGCTAGCGCCATCCCACCGCCACGACCCCAACTTAAATCACGATGCGATTGTCCTTGTCCTAGTCTTTAGGGGTTAGTGGAGTAATTAATTTATGCAGATCATAAGTTGTCATGGGTCCTATTTTGGTATTATTTCTGTTATGTATTTGTCTATTTAAAAGCTTCAAAGTTTTGAATGCAATATAAGATTCAACCTTATCTCTCCTCTCCCGTAGATATTTTCAAACCTCTGTTTTATTGTTCTCGATTCTACAGATTCATGTTCACTCTATTCATGCATATGTTGTTTCTGTCGAGAAGAGACAGATAGCAAGGGATGAGGCTAGATTTCGCATGGTCCAGGACAAGGAAGAATGACTGTTTGAATGAATTGAATCGGAAAATCATTATAGGGTGCACCGATGCTTGCAAGCTCGATGCACTCGAGCCACTAAATCGGGTGTATCTCGTGTCGGGACCCACCAAATTCAATGGTTGAAAAATGCTAGGCGCGCAAATGGGCCTCTGTTTATGCCACAATCTTTCCTCATCTACCCCTTGACTATATGCTTGCAGTTTGCATAAGACCATAGGGAGACGAAATTAACCCTGACTTGGTCTTCGATATTGTTGTGACTAAGCTAGAATTGAACTGTTCCGTTATGGTATTAATCATGAAGAGTGAACTAGAGGTATTGCAGGAAAATTACCAAAAGTCCCAAAACTATTACACATTTGACAATTCAATTCTAAACCTTTTAATTGTGTTAATTGAGTCATAAATATTTTCACGTTTTGCGAATTAAGTCTATCTGGTCAATTTTGATAGGAAATTGCTAAAAGTGGACGCTAACTGTCCTATGTGGTACGGCCGGCGTTGACTTTGACATTTTTGATAATATTTTAATGATTTTTTTTTCTTTTCATTTACTTTTCTTTTGTTTTTTCGAGGGAGGATCGGTGACCCTAGCCAATACTGGGGGAGGGCTCGCGGCCCTCACTCCGAAAAACAATTAAAAGGAATGAAAAAAGAGAAAAGAACCAAAATATTATTAAAATGTTATTAAAAATATCTACATTAGCACCGGCCACCGGCCATGCTACGTAAGATGGCCGGCGTCCATGTCAGCAATTTCCGGCCAAAATTGGCTTGATAGACTCAATTGGAAAAACGTGAAAAGATTCACGACTCAATTAATACAATTAAAAGCACGCTAAAAAAGAATTAGCATAATTAAAATGTTTATGACTGAATCGTCAGAAGTGCAATTGTTTTATGACTTATTTGGTAATTTTTCTGGAGTATAGCTGTCTGCTCTGTTCCTTGTCATTCCGTGAGAGCCTGCGAGGAAACAAGCCCAGCCCATGTCCGGGAAAGATGGGCCGACACCAAATCCACGCCATTGCTCACTATAAAGCCGAAATTTAGGGCTAGCTGGCGACAGGATGCACGGCTGTTCAGCTGCAAGTCCGTGCCCTCTTCTTCTTCTTCCATGTTTCTAATTTTCCATCGTCCGTGAGCTCGACTTTCGCGGCGGCCGAGCCTCGATCGGCCGTCGTATCTCCTTCTTTCACCACCACGACGCGCGGTTCCCGGAATCGAAATCTCCTTCGAATCTCTGATCCGTGTCGCTCCCATGATGAACGCTATCTGATGTCGTTCCAATTCCTGAAGCGCTCCGATCCTCAGCGGATCGGAGCTCGATTCCGTGTGGAACTGAAGAGACATCTGAGGAGCTTTAACAGTATATCCCCAACCCACCACCTCCCACTTCCATCGAACACCGATTCTTCTTCTTCTTCTTCTTCATCTTCTTCGTTTTTAGCTTCTTCTTCTTCTTCTGTTGGTCCAGGAGACATGATTGCACGCAGCGACTCCATGCTCTTGCCGTCTCTGTTTCTTTTAATAGAATTTTTGTCTCTTTGGTTCGAGCTATAGCAGACAGCAGCCAAATCCCAGGCAGCGATTCGAGCCGCAGATCCACTTACAAACAAAAAAAAAAAAAGAAAAGAAAAAAGAAAAAGGAAAACATTTTCGTGTTGGTTGATTTTTATAATTTTTAATTTTTTTATAAATGCCACGTAGGATGGGAAAGTTTCTCGGGTAAATCAGTGTACGTGATTTTTAGGTTTTTTTTTTCTTTACAATTGTTTTACATTTGGCTAGGACGATTTTTAGTAAAGTCATGAATCGATTTTATTAAGGGTGAGCGAATCCAGGTTCTTTTCCGTTGGAAAATAATTCTCGTTTTTGAGAATCTGGAACATATCTTTCGTACATTGAAATTTGAAACCTACAACAGGTTCCTAGGCTTTATTCTTAATTAAACGATTTCAGTAAATCATCACCTTTAATTACCACTAATTACTGCTACAATCTATTGATCATAATTTATATTTAGACATGCAAAGAATATGAAATATTAACAAAGTAAAATTTTCAGCCATAAAATGAAAGCGATTCTACATTATGTACTCATCATCGGACGCTAAGGAATATTGCAGGATCGTGCGAAGATATAGATCATGAAAAACACCTATCTAGAACTTACCTTTTGAAACAAGTTTTCCAATTTTTGAAACCTTCACACCGGTCCGCTTCTCAGAATCTGGAACCAGGATTTTACGATATATTTTTTGTGCTCAATGATGACCACGCGTTGTAACGTTCCACATTACATCTAGAGTACCATGGAGGTGCCCCACGAGATGGACCTCACAATAATGTTTGGATCTTTTGTAATCCGGGAGATGATTTGCCTAAAGGACAACAAATACCATCTCACAATTTTCCCTCGAAGATGTCTTAATGGAGGCTCGATCGGTTTGCTATGGCGTGCAAACAATGCTACATTAACTTCCACAACACGAGATTGCTTTTTAAAAACCCCACTTGTCCATTGTCTCGTGACATGACCCAAATGATCTCTTGCAGCAACCGCTACACAACCCTAATTATTTTCAAATTATCAATTTTTCTTACAGAATTGCAAACTTTAATCAACATAACTTATCAATATTTTAAAGTTACCAACTCTTACATCAGATCATCGATCTTAATTTGAGTTATTAAAGTCCACTTGTCCTTTTCTTGCAATCCACCCTTTTTGCAATTCACTTACCAATTTTCAATTGCGTAATTTACCTATGTTTTCAAATTTACCATGTCTTAAATGGAAAATCATTAACATTAATTCGAGTGAATTATCAATTTTTCTATTTAAATTAAGAACAAATTTTTTAAGTCACTAACTCTTATTTGAATAATTCATTGATAATTATAGGTTATTTTCAGATTTTTAAACTTTCCTAATAAATAGCCTATCAATTTTCATTTGCATAATTTATAAACTTTCCGTCGTTTGTTTTTTGCCCCTATCGATGTCTGTTTTTCTTTTGTCAAATATAAATCAATGTCCTTTTTTTTTGTCGGAAGAAAAATTAACGTCCGTCGAGGGAGGGAGGAATTTGTCCGTGACTCCGGTGCGTCATATCCATCACCTTTATTAAAAAAAATGACACGGATGGTATCTAAATTTTGACCTGATGTGCAATGTCGCTCATAAACTTTTAATTTGTTCAATGCACTCCTTGAAAACTTTAGCCCAATATATAATAGGGGTATGCAAAAGAACCGAGACCCGCCTGGACCGCCCGGAACCGGACTAGAACCAGTGGTTCCCGAGGGAACCAGTCCGGTTCCCGGTTCCAATTTTTTGGAACCGATGGGTACCGGTTCGGTTCCCGGTTCTCGGTGCGGAACCGCCCACCTGGACCGGACCGGTAATATAATAATAATATATTTTTTATTTTTTTAATTTTTAATTTAAAAAATCTGACCAAAAAAATGAAAAATAAAAAAAGAAAATAGGAGAGTTGTTGTTTTGTTTGCTTGCTGACTATTGTGAACTTGTGGCAAACTCCCACATGTGATATATAATATAGGCTACGGATGTATTTGATGTGAAGCAAGGTAGCATGTGGTGAACACAACCCACCAACGGGCAAGAATTACACCAGTTCATTTTTTGATTTGTCCAAGAAAACTTAGCGGGACTGGTTCCATGGACCCACCCGGGAACCAGACCGGACCGGCGGTTCGGTTCTCGGGTGGGTTCATGGAACTGACGTGCGGTTCTCGGTTTCAATTTTTTGGAACCGGTCCTTAACGGGCGGTCCACGATTTCGGAGTGGGAACCGCCCACCCAGACCATGCTCACCCCTAATATGTAATGTAGTCTCTGAACTTTTAAATAGTTCAATGTGGTCCTTAGAATTTTGGTACATGTTCGATTCGGTCCTTGAACTATATGAAAATGTTCAATGTTATCCTGAGCTTGAATTAATGAAAGGACAACATGGAACATTTTCGTATAGTTTGGGGACTAAACATGTACCGAAAGTTCACGAACCACATTGAATAATTAAAATTTTAGGGATCGCATTGCGCATTGATATAAAGTTCAGAGATAATATTGAATAAATTAAAATTTCAAGAATTGCATGACTAGGGATGTGCAAAACGGATCGCCTAAATTAGAAATTATCGGATCGGACCAATTATATATATATATATTTTAATTTAATAAAATGTGAACTAAATCACGTGAGGAAGGAGTGCTCGGGAAAAGTTAAAAAAGATAAAAAGGCTGCATGTTGAAGTCCATTAATTGGTCAGAGGCAAGAGGAGCGCTGGTGGTTTCTTTTGATTTCCTTTTAACCGCTCGGTGGACTTTTACTGAAGGAGAGCACGCCCCACTTTGAAGACTTCACCACCGCACCATCATTCATACAGAGAAGTACGTCGTGGGAGCTGCGGAGCAGAATAGAGAGAGAGAGAGAGAGAGAG